CCCCCCGTACCTCCGCTGCCGGTCCCGAGGTCCGCTGTGCCCAGTGCGGCTGGGACCGGCACGGCGACACTCTCAGTGGAGATCAAAGAGAAATCAATAAATCCCTTTGATCTCTTCTCCTGTCCCCGAATGCAGGAAGTGATGTATATTACATCACTTCCTGCATTCAGTGTCACTCTCCAGTACAGATGCCGGTGAGAAGCTGGTGAAGCAGGTCTCTGCTTCAATCAGCTTCTCTGGGGGTCCCTAGGTGACACTAGGTGTCTCCATAAAGAGGACCTGTTATGTGAATTGGCTATCACATAGGAGGATTTCTTAGTGCCCTATGTAATAGCAATAAAGTTAAGTTTAAAAAAAAAAAAGTTTAAATTTTTTTCCCCCCCACATACACACACAAACATGCGTCAGGTGCGCCTATGTGCGAAAACGACGATTGCGCCCATTACGCCGAACATGTTACATATCGCAGCGAACGTCGGAATGAGAGCAATAATTTTGGGGGCATTAATTACTGATAACATGAAACTGATGAGTGGTAAAAACGTTTAAAGCGTCGCCTATGGCCAATTTTGTGTGTGGTTGTTTTCTGCGATTTCGCAGGCGCTCCCAATTTTAAAGCTTGACATGTTTGGTGTCTATTTACCCGAAGTGACCCCCTCTTTTATATTTTACCAAAAAATTGGGATGATATTAAATGTTTCATAACATTTTATAGGGAAACTGGGGATTTTTTTACACTAAAGTTAGGGTACTTTTTTTGTTATAGTAAAAAATAAAAACCAGTGGTCATTAAATACCACCAAAAGAAAGCTCTATCTGTCCCCCACAAAATGGTATAAAATTAGTTTCAGTACAGCGTTGCATGACGGAATAAATGTCAGTCAAAGTACCGCAGCGCTGAACACTGAAAAATGGCCTGGCCAGGAAGGGGGTTTAACACCCCGGTCTTCAAGTGGTTAAAGATAATAATACCAAGTGGGCATGAGGTCCTGAAGAGGTTGTCACAT